CCGTCCCCCATTGCCGCCGGCCTCTCCCGAGCAGCCGGTGGGAAGCGGGTGCAATCTGATAACCGGAGTATTAATAGCAGCCGAGGAGGCGTCCTGGGAGGGCGGCAGCGGGCACGGGCCGGGCAGGCGGYGCCGGCATCCCGCGCCGCCGGTGGGAAAGCCCCGCGGGCCCTTCGGCCTCCTCCTCGGAAGCGTGAGCGACTCCGTGCGGGAGCGGGCCGGGAGCTCTGCCGGAGTGGGCAGGTGGGCCCCAGTGCAGCCACGGCTCTCCGAGGCCTTTCCTGCACGTCTGGGAGGTGGAAGCCCTGCCTTGGTGCCGGGAGGTCCCTGGGAAGAAGCCGGTGCTCCTTCAGGAGGGCTTTTCTGCTCGCTGTGAGCCCTGCGTCGGTGAGATCCAGGGCACGGAGATGGGGGCGAAGCAGAYGGTGTTGGCAGCTGGAGGGTTCCTGGGGTGGTTGTCACGAAGGGAGGGACTTGGCACCGGGCACCGTGCGCTCGCGCCATGGGGCACTGCGGCCCTTCGGATTCCCATGGATTCGGACGCTCCTGCTCCCTTCTCGGGCTGCCTCGCCACACGACTGCTTCACAGCAGGTGACTCCTGGCTGTGGAGTCTCCTCCTCTGGAGATCTTCCCAACCCGCCTGGATGCCGCCCTGTGCCCTGGGTGTCCCTGCTGGAGCAGGGGGTTGGACTAGATGATCTCTAGGGGTCCCTGCCAATCTCAGCCCTTCTGGGATTCAGTGATTCCCGTTTAGGGGAGAGGGATTCCTTGATCTGCCTAGACTTTACTTTTTTTTTTTTTTTTTTTTTTTTTTTTTTTTTTTTTTTTTTTTTTTTTTTTTTTTTTTTTTTTTTTTTTTTTTGCCATAGGTAGATATGTGTAGTCTAAATTTTCTGCTCTGGATACATGCATGTTTAGAAGGTCCCGCTTCTCGAAAGAGATGCCCTTGAGTCGTCTTCCTGAGCTGTGCCTTTCGTTTCTGGTATCTTGCCTTTGGTCTTGAGCTCCACGTTTGTGTTCTSCCTGGAGAACAACAATGTAAAATGTCAAAGTACATCTGACATCAGGTGCCGATAGTTTCTGGGATTGAATAGGCATGAGGGGGCTGGGGAACGAAGCAGAATAACACATGGGGAGAAGAAATCCAAACTGCCRGGTGTATTTATTAGCTGTAACTTAAAATACGCTGCTGTCCTGGAAGGAAGCAGTGAAGAAACAAAAGTGCAAGTAACATAAGTGCAAGTGTTTTAGCATGTTGTATAAGGCTTAAATTCTAGTTTATGGTTCCGTAAAATACGGTAGCGTACAGGCCACATGACTGTTTTGTAAACTGCTTTTAGTATCTCAGAATTAACTTTAATTTAATCTTAAAGGAATATCTTAAGATATTATCTTGAAGTAATGCTAGCCAGCTTCCTCAAAAGGAGGCATCAGTAGCTGGGCTGGTTGCACGGAGAGCCCCTGGCTGGTGTTTTGTCATATGGGAGCTCCTCTATGGGGATGGCCCCATGGYGTCCCCCCTCCAGCAAGCTCCTGGTGTGACAAACACGTTGCCTTGGTGGTTGTGCYGTGGGACTGGGCTCTAACACAGGTGAGTGAGCTCATTTGGGATCCTTAGAGGGGCCCTTAGCTCCAAACAAGCCATCGGCAGAGCCCTTGGGTGCTGCATCCCCACAAGGAGCCATGGGGTGATGCCGTGCGTGTTGGCATAACCACGGAGCAGTAAGCAAGGAGCAAGAGATATCGGGGAATCCTGGAGGTGGAAGTGCTGCCAAAGCCTCTGTGTCTCCAAACTGTGGCCTTAGTGACCAACTTGGCTGTTTAACCTTGAGCCAACAGTGGGGCTGTGAATAAATTCCTTCTGTTGCAATCCGGTCTTCTGAGCTGCTCCATCACTTGGTTTTGTTCTCATCCAGTAGTCCCTGTTAAAGAAACTTCTGCTGGTCAGTGCCGAGTGGGTATAAATGGTGCTCCTGAAGGGGCATTTTCTCCACTGTAACCGAGTTGCTTTGGTCTCTAATCTAAGCTTATCATCTACTAACAAGTTGGAGCTATTTCTGTCTCGTTTGTCTTGTTCTGTTTGCTGACCGGTTGACGTAGGTGAAATGATGCTTTACACAGAAGGCATTATTTTTTCCATGGGTGGTGAATTCATGTGTTTTTGGATGGATTTTGTCAGCATTTTGCGACAGCGGTCACCTTGCAATTGTGCTTCATAATTATAACAATATTCCCCCCCGCCGTGGTGTTTGTTATCATGCGGCCTTTAGGCTCTTGCTGCAATTTACAGGAGTTTTGACAGGCATTTTCCAGCATGGCCAACCTTCAAGCTGCAGATCCAGCTTTATGGAAAGCCCTGCTAGCTGTGAAGGTTCAAAGCCTGYGCACCAGAAGTTGCACTGCCAGAATCTGGAGGCTTCTTGAGCAGTTGACGTTGGGGTTTGATTAGGTAACAGGAGGGATTGACTTTCCTTTAGGCTGCAGAGTGAATGCCAGGAATGAGCACCCTATGTAGTAGGAGTGGAGYGGGTTTTTTTTTTTTCTCCTGTAAACCTGTTCTCCTTGGCAGCTCCACATCCCACCCCAGGCTTGCTTTTTTGTTTTAGGTTGGTGCTGACAAGCCGAAGCCAATATTCCCATTAAATCCCCYTCAGCTTGCAGCACGCTTGTGTCCAATAGGCATTTTCCGGACTATTTTAAAGGCGATATTCTGGGTAGTCCCCAGGCAGTGGCCTGTGCGTGCGTTTCTCCGAGCTGGATTTGGGATGGGCGGGATGTGCACGCGCGGCRTTTCGCTCGGGAAGGCAGCGAGGGCTTTTGGAGCCGCTGGATCCGGACGGCACCCTTTGCAAGCTGCAGTCACAGGGAGCAGAGGCYGCTGAGAGGTCTGCGGGCAGCAGCTCCCGGCCCTGCTGGCAGCGGCAGACAACGCGGCAATCATCCAGAATCCCTTCCCTTTTCCCCTGGCTCCCCGCGTCTCCATCCCTTGAGCTCAAACCTCCATGGTCCTACCCAAAGCACGAGGCGATGGCTGTAGGATCACTCTCCATCAGGAGCTTCAGGGGATGGGGGGAAGCRGCTGAGGGAGCCAGGGATCTTCAGTCTGGAGAAGAGGAGGCCCAGGGGAGACTCTAGTGCTCTCTAAACTACCTGGGGGGAGGTTGTCCTGAGGCAGGGGGGTCGCAGAATCACAGGATGGTTGAGGTTGGAAGGGACCTCTAGAGATCATGCGGTCCAACTCCCTGCTCCAGCAGGRACACCCAGAGCACRGGGCGGCATCCAGGCGGRTTGGGAAGATCTCCAGAGAAGGAGACTCCACACTTCTAGGTTAAGGTCTATAGACAACAGGGACTCTAGGTGATTCAAGAGGTATATGTGACTTGTCATTGTCTGCAGTGACAAAAGCCCAGTTCTGTCCGGCAGAAAGGTTCCTAGGTTTTGAACTTGAAGCCTATAAACCTTTAAAATGCTCCATATCAGCTGCAGAAAGTTTACTAGTGATGCAAACTGCTGGGAAAGCCATTTCCCAAGCCATGCTCGGAAAAGGGCTGAGGGGACCTGTGTGTAACCAGCACAACGTGAACATCTCGGAGGAATGCCCCGTGCTGCGGAAAGGGAGGAGTGTAATTGCTTCAGTATCAAGCTTAATTAAAATAAGGGCACCAAGGTATTTTGGGAAGSAGAGTGAAAAATGGATGTGAAAGTTTCACATTAGAGGAAAAGTGTTCCTCCATATCCATAAGATATAGGCTGCTTGCTACGGAATCAGAATTTAGGGGATGGGATGTGAAGGAAGTGGCAAGCGGGGATGCTGTGGGCCAGATGTCTCATGACACTATGTTATTGGCAGCTTGATTGCGAGTGACGTAGGGAATGGGCACGGCAGGGCCAGCTGAGGTGGGTGGGAAAAGCAGGGTGGCCCAGACGAGGAAGAAGGGAGGAGGGGAGCTCTGCATCCCAGCTGGWTACAGGCTGCTCTGCCTTCCGTGAGTGACCTGGTCCTGGTCCTGCCCTGGCTCTGCACCTCCTGGCTGCCTGCTGACCAGTTTCTGGCAACCTCTCCATGAAACCTTTGATCAACTCATTCCCAGGCAGCYGGGACCAGGAGATGACCGGAAAAATTATCACTTTGATCTGTTCCCAGATCCCATGCAGCTCTTTTTGCTGCCCCACATTAGCTTTGCATTAATTCTCCAGACCAAGGCAGGAGGTGAGCTGCTCTCCGGAGCTGCTCACGGTGCCGGCGAGAGGGTTTTAGGGCCGCTCCTGGGGCCTGGCCTGGGAGGGGACCTTGGAGGGACCTCCCGGAGCCCCTGGGGAAACGCACCACAAACGGGGGCCTGAAAAAGGCAAAACCACCTTGTACTAATGGTAATACTTGTGGCCTTCAAGGTGTTTCATTTTCCCCTCTGGAAACAGGCATCCCACTTGAAAGCAACCCAGCTCCTCCTTCCAAACCTGCAAGGGGGCTGTCCTCACGTCCCAGCTGCTCAGTTTTTGCCTGAAAATTGCTGCTTGGTTAAAACRAAGAGACAAATATTTCAGAAAAAAAGTGTCATAGCCAGGGAAAAAAGGAACGTAAGATCTTAGTCAGCAGCTGAGAGAGCTGATAGAGATTGACCGTCACCAAAAGTGATTAGCTTCGTTCTGCTTTTATTTTATCAGTAACTAAAAACTTTGACTAATTTTAAAAAAGAAAAAACTTTTACTGGGTTATAATTCCCATCAAATCACAGACTGTAGCAGGGCAGTTAGTGTCTTGTTTCACATGAAATGATTGAAGTAGTACRGAATTCTACCTGTAAATGCAAAGTTAATTGTTGCACTTTATTTCTTTCGGAACATTCACGGTTCTGTATCTCATTTTGGACTCTAATTGCTCTTAAAATTAAATTGTAATCTTTATCTTATGACACTTTAAATATTGAGTAATAGAATTTTCAATTAGGTTTTGAAAATCTCTTTTTGTTTTTGTTCTTTTTCTCCTGCTCTGCTTCAGACCAGAGGAAACTGACAGAAGAGTGAAAAATGTAAGACACGTTTATTTTAATGTTTTCCAAAACATTAATGTAAGAATTTAATATTTTTGAAACACTTCTGCTCTTATCATTGTGAGACTTACCGTATTGTTTGGCTGCTCATTTATCTATAATAGTACCTATATATCTCTCTATAATAGTAGATATAAAAATCAGTGCCATCTCGTTACGATCACTGCAGAGCTTACTTTCCTGGATGAGTGTTTTAATAGGAAACGGTCCTTCAGTCTCAGCCTAATTGAGATGTGTTAAACTCATCCAAGCCCTGTTTAACTGATTTTAATGAAGATACCAGCTAATGGCGTAGAGGAGATTTTTACACTTCACTGGGGAMAACGTCTCTAACTTTATACTGACCTACTCCTGAGAGCTAATTATTGAACTCTCTATTGATGTTTGTATTTCTAGGTTCTGATTACGTTGTACTGGCTGGGTAGAAAAGCACAAAGTAACCCTCATTATAATGGTCCATACCTCAATCTTAAAGCATTTGAGAAGCTACTAGGGCAAGCATTGACAAAGGTAAGAATTCCAGAGAAGATTTTTTTTTTTTAAACAAACAGTTTTAAATATTACGTAGGTTGCTAAACATWATATCATAACAGCTAAGTTATCTCTTGGGGATTTAATTTTATTCTTAGCTCGGAGAGCACGGCAATCTGGTTTGTTCATTTTGCATGCTATCTAAAGACACGTGAAAGGAATCATTTCTACCAGATCTGGGGTCCTCTGCTATCAGTATTAGAGTCACAGAATGGTTGAGGTTGGAAGGGACCTGTGGGAGACGATCTAGTCCAACCCCCTGCTCCAGCAGGGACACCTGGAGCGTTTGTTACCCTAGTTGTCCTTTAAGGAAAAAATACCCACTGTGAGGAAGAAAAACTCATGAAACTTGGAACCCTTCTGTGATTGTTCATTTGGTAGGTGGCAGAGAGCTCYGATTTCATTCCGAGATGAGGGAAATTAAATACCTTGTGTTGAACCCCCATCCAAGATTTTTGTGTATGTAGTTTTTAGAGGTTTACAGTAGTCCTTGAACAAGCTATTTGTGTACAAATGTCTTTAATATATTATTGCATTTGAACTCTGGGGTATTTAAGAGTACGACGCTGCTGCAAAAGGCTTTCCACAACCTCCTTGCGCAGGCGCTCGAGGAGTCCGGCCAGCTGAGCAGGAGCGGCAGGGACAGCGGCTACGGCGACGTCTGGTACCTCGAGCGCGGCGAGCCCTTCCCAGCCTCGGCCAGCCACAAAAGGGAGGACTCCTTTGACAGCTTGGACTCCTTCGGCTCCAGATCCTCCACGAGCTTCTCCTCAGATATCACCTTGAAAGGTGGCAGCGAAGGTGCGTTTCCCTGCTTAAAATTGTGTCTTGTGAGCACAGGACAGCACGGTGCACGACCTGCGGGTGCCCGGGATCTGAACTGGCTTGAAGGGCAGCTCTAGAGGGCCTGCTGCAGTTGCGTTTAAGATGATCAAATACAGATCTTAAGCAATTGCTAGAAACAAAGCAGTGCCCCCCGAATGATCCTGGATAGAGCAGCGGGGCTTCTGGCTGCCATTTTAACACATACATATTTGGTGGGTGGTTTTTAGCAGGGCAGGAAGGCAGATTGGTAGAGTTCAGATCCCAGTGTCCATCACCTAACTTTGCAACAGTTGCACCTGTGCCTTGCCTTTCCCTAAAATCCATATGATGTCACATGAATACGATTTGTTTTGTATTGAATGCAAATAGGCTTTTTCTCCCTTGGGTTAAAAGCTGAATATCGTAGTATTTGTCTTGATAGTTATTAGTTTTTCATGGAAAGCAATGTAGTAAGAYGACAGGTTATGAAATAGTTCTCTGCAGTTATGCTCTAAACCTTCTCCAAATTTTAAAATGCACCAGAAACATGTATTCAGGTTATAAAAAATAGTGAGCTTTTGGATTTTATTCAGTGGGAATGGTGTGAAATTATTTGCAAAGGCTGCACAGAGCCCATCTGATGGGATCAAAGCACCGTGTAGCCGTGCCACACAAGTGCCACACACCCGGGGCAGCTATGGGTATGAATCTGCYGAGATGAGCATATTCTTTGCATTATATGCTTGCTAGCTCAGTGTGCTAGCAAACGGGAGTGGCAAGCGGGGCTTTGAAGAGCTGCCGTGTTATTTGAGTGTTTGCCTCAGTGGGGGGTTTAGCAGGCYGGGTCCTGCGTGAACAGGGATAGCGAAGGAACGGAGCGACCGCGGCCGGCCGGGCGCCGCGCCGTGGGTCCTGTCACAGCTCCCCGAGAGACACCTCAAAACACTCCTCAAAACACCTCTGCTCGGCACGTTTGCTGCAGAAGCATCTTGGAAGTGGAGCTGACTTGACCCTTTCGATCCAAGTTCTAGCTCCGAGCTCAAAGCCAGGGAGTAACTTCCCTTTCTTTCCCTTTTCCCTAAGGCTGTGAAAGCGACCCGGACTCGGAAGTGCCTTGCAAAATGCACGACTCCCACAAAGACGACCGGTCCTACCGCAGGATCGCGGTGATCGAGCCCAAACCCACGGCCGACTTCAATCGCTTCCTGCCCACCAAGAACAAGCAGGCAGCGTACGTGCCCGCGCCCTTGCGCAAGCGGAGGACGGACAAGAACGAGGACAACAGGAGGAGCTGGGCCAGTCCCGTCTACACCGAGTCCGACGGCACCTTCTCAAGGTACTGCTGGGCAGCCTCGCTGAGGCGGCTGCTTGACCTCCAGTGTTTCCTTTCCTGACTGCTTCCCTCGTTAAAGAAGAATTGCTGTTGTTGTAGCTAGAGGCAAAGCCTGTGAGTTGTCATATTTTAGGGTTTTTCTTTTTGTTTCTTTAGCTCAGTCCACTAGTTTTTAAGCGGCGTTTTGAGGTAGTTCAGATATCAAATAGAGGGGATTTAAATAATTTTCCGTGCCGTTTTAAACTAGACRTAAAATGTATAGCTTGGCTGAAAGTTTTCCGAGCATGGTAGTGAGTTGCTGTTGCCCRGCTTGCACATGGATGTGCTTGAGACACCTTGGGCAGGGCTCGAGGTCTGTGGTTGCTTCACCATCTCCCTTCTGTTCCTGTTCTGGCCACCTCAGTGGCCCTCCAAGGAGTCCTCCAGCTTCCCGCCAAAGCAGCGGAGCCGAGAGCGGCCTCGCGCACCCGCCTCCCCTCCGGCTGCCCGGTGACAGTGACAGCGACTCGGAGCCTGAAGAGGACCGGCCGCTGCCCGACCTGCTTCGGGATGACTTGGCGAATCGCAGATTCCTGGGCCCGAGGGGCCCGGCGAGCCCGGCCGCGGCCGGGCGGCGTTGCGTGCCGGCACCGCGGCCGAGCAGCCCGCCTGCTCCGGCAGCTGCGGGGCCGCAGCCGCTGAGGTCAGAGGCGCTAATGTGGCATCCAGTGACTGGTGTGCTGCCCGAACTGCAGTCTCGAAATAACCCCGTAAAATTAGCCTTCTAATCAGCCTGTTAATGTAGCTGATAAGTCCCYGTGCCTGTTCTGTCAAGTTGGCGTTCCCGTGAGAGGCTATAGGCTGCTGTAATAACCATTTAACTTTTTTTGTTTCTTTTTTTTTTTTTTTTTCTGGTGCTGCAGTGATGGGATTGAGAACTAATTAGCTTCATTCACAAGGCTGAACTCTTGAGCCAAAAGCATGTCTGTTTTTTTCGCATCTTTTTATGTCAAGCTGCTCCTAAAATATCTTAACTGGTTGGGTATTTTGCACAGTAACCAGAGGAGTCAGAGGCAGTTGGATGCTAAAGTGGAAAGCAAGCCAAGAGCTAACATTCCTTCACAGTTCTCCGGGTACTTTGATGAGGACGAGGAAGACTCCACAGGCGTCCCAAACATTGAGAAGGATGATCTCTATTTCCGCAAGCTGAGCTCGTCGGCACCAAGCACAGTGGTTTCTTTTGACAAATTTCTCCCTAAGTTTTGGACTCCAGAAGAGGAACTGATGTGGAAAAAAATCAGGAAATCCTCTTTCAAACCCTGGTATAAAGAGATTCAAGGGTTCAGGTGCGTGTTGATGCATGCGCCTGTTTCTCTGCTGTGTGCAAAACCTGTAACTAAAGCGTGGTTTTACAACGGCTTCATTTTTATTACCTGTGTAGCAGCAGGATGTTGGTTTATTTTCTTGTTCAAGAAAATGATTGAGGTTTTTCCATTCGACCRTTGTCCCATTGGCACTGTGCGTTTAACTGGATGACTGTTTTTTCTCCCTCTCTCTTTCCTTCTTTGTGCTGCTGCACAGTAGAAAGAAATCAGATTCTGAGGATGAGGATTTTGCTTGTAAACCCAGCTCTGCCCTTGGTCGTCAACCAAGACCAGGCTTTGAGTGGAGCAGCAGTTGCAGGAGGGATCAAACCTCTAAGGCCACGGCTGAATACRTGGGAAATCCCTTGTCCCAGATTGTGGAAGACAGGATCCTGGAGGATGCTGATGCGCCCAGGTTGATACCGCTGCATGAGCTGTGCCCTGGCTGCCTCGCAACCCAGCGCCTGGTTGTTAAAGGGAATGAAACCGCATCCCGCCTCGTTGTTCCCGGGATTTTGTGCATCTGTTGTTGCCTGAGAGCTGCGGCAGGGTGCACGTGCGGCAGGGTGACGCGGGGGGTTGTGGCTTGGCGGGGGGCGTGCGGCTGACGCGCGGTGCCGGGGCCGCCGGGTGTTGTCGCGGTGCCGCTGGCTGCACCCGTGCGGCTGCACCCGTGCGGCTGCACCCGTGCGGCTACACCGTGCGGCTACACCGTGCGGCTGCACCGCGTGTGCATCTCAGTACGTTGTGCTCCGCCTGTCTCCTGCCAGCTAATGATATTCCATGTCCCTCCTTTTGTCTTGTGCGCTCCAGTCAGTTTGCGTTACTTCAGGCGCTGCAGAGATACACGGACTACTTGTCTTCCGAAGCAAAGACCAAAGTTGATCCTGCTTCCGGCCCTAGGCTGGTAAAATGTAGAAGGAATATTTCCTTTATACCGGGATGCAAGCAGGGAGATGAGGAAAATGGGTATCTGTATCCAGATTTAGAAAACGATGACCTGTTTGTTCGGAAAACGGGGGCGTTCCACATGAATCATGTTGTTCTCCAAGACCCCGAGTATTTTAAAAAGTTCTCCGAGGAGGAGCCTCCCCTGGAGGGGGAAATCGTCCTGCAGCCTCGGGAAGGCCAACCTGTGATTCCCGACTTGGAAAAAGACGACATGATTTTCCGGAAAATCCTCTCTCAGAGAAAAGAGGTGCCTCTGTCGGGCGCTCCGGACAGGTATCACGCTGCCCTCTTCCCGGACCCGTGGAGCCTGCCGGAGGACGTCCGCTCCAAGTTCCTGTGCCTGCTGGAGAGAGGCGCCGCGGCGGAGAACAGGCGGAGCGCCGGCCGCGTGCTGTCGCCCTCCTCCCGCCACGAGAAGGACGACATGCTCACGCGCAAGATGGGGGCCTGCAAGGCGGGAAGCGGCGTGCAGCCCGCGCGGTTTATCCCGGGGCCCTGCAGCGAGGACGACTGGAGGAAGTGGGAGGCCATCAGGGAGGCCAGCCGAGCGAGGCACAGGAAGCGGCAGCTGGTGGAGAGGTCAGCCCGTGTCCCGCGCGGCTCGCGCTCCAGCCCGTGGAGCCGCTTCCCGTGGGAGAAGCACCGCCCCGTGCCGAGCCCTGTGTGCAGTGCAACGCTGCCGTTTGTTTGTGTGATCCCACACAAGCTTTTTGTTTGCTTTGAGTGGAAGCTCATCGCTGCAATACCATATTTTCAGCAAAATTAAGGTATTTTCYGGCTTTAGGCTGCCACTTTAGAGAGAAATTAGGTTACCAGTCCTTGAGCTCCAAAGCCTAAAACAGGTTTTTTTCCGTGTTTGAGCAGGAATATTGATGATTCAGAAGATTATAGAGGCTGTTATAGGGGTAGTTTGTTGACCTAGTATGCTGATGAGAATGCCTCTGAAATAGTGGATGTTTTCTTCGAATCATAGAAGCTTTATGGTTGGAAAGGATCATCAAGGCCAACCATAAACCCACCACCACCATCCTGCCTGCTCAGCCGTGTCCCTAAGTGATCTCTACACGTTTCTCACCTACATCTACAAGTAGATGTTTCTCACCTACATCTACATCTCACCTCACGTCTACAAGTGCCTCATCTATGTGTTACCCAGCAGGTCGAGG